CTCCAGTGTGCTAGTATACTGTCTAGGCTCCCAGACTGTGTTGGTTTGCAGAGAAACCCCATGCCCTTAGGATCATTGTCTTGTACTATTTGAACCTCATGGCTGGGATGCTCTGGTGTTTCCCACTGGTGGTGGGTCGCCCTTTTAAGAAAGGTGGTTGCTGCAAATTCCAGTTCTTCCAAAAGCCACTTGATTTAAGGGTTTATCCACAAATTGTGCTCATTTTGATAAAGCATTTGTTTCCTAAATGTCTACTAATCACTTTATGCCAAATGTCTTGCAGATGTTATTTTTAAACTTCCTGAATTTTTACAAATGTAAAAAGGAAAAAGTGTATTAGTGTAATTTGTTCAGGAGTAGCTACATACTGAAGGGCTTCTATACATGAGTTCTAGGGGCAAAAGCCTTATGTAGAAAGCTGTACACTGCAGTTCCATCTGGGTTTTAATTTAGATTTCAGCATTTCTTAGTGCTTCATTCTATTGGTTTATTGGCACATGCAATAGGAGTATTAATTTACAGAAGCACAGATGTTCATGTTTTCTATCATGTAAAATCCTGTAGTTAAGCTATATTTTAGCAGTCGAGATGTTAAAAGAGATCAGAGGAGTGGAAATGTAGGAGGGTTGTTTGAAAGTTTACTTAGTACTAGACTAGTTTTATAGACAAGGAAGAACAGAAGGGTGGCACACACTTGAAGACATTTGGTATGACTTACAGTCCAGGTGAGGGGACGTGCTAGTCCTTTCCAGTGAGCGTGCCTGAAGGTTTCCTGAATTATCGTTCCTCCTGGAGCCATGTGTGTGCCGTGTGCAAAGGTAAAAAGTTCCAAGCTGACCATGAAGTTGTGGTGGACTAGGCAAGCGCAGTTTGTGCTTGCCCTCACATCATCAGTTTAGGCTCTTTAGAGGTTATAAGTGCTGTAAGAGCTAAGTGTAAAGAGGAAAGGGTTGTCTGGAGGACAGCAGAGTTTTCTATAAAAACATCATTGGGCTTCTCATCTTGTTCACCTTGAACCTGCAGATCCCCACGGAGCACGACAGTCAAAAGGTGGGAAGACACGGTGATTGCCCATATCACTTCCATTTTGTGTACGCACTGGGTTTGTGTAGGCGTGGGCGTATTCCAACTGGCTTTTTAGTAATAGAAATCCAGTATATAATGTATCAGATACAATTGAGGTTCTAATCTAGTCTGTTAATTTACCTGAAGCTGGATTTTTAAAAAAGTAATAAAAAATTAAATGTATTTCCCTTGGATGCTTGCTTTCTTTCCTTTTTGAAACATGAACCAAAGTGTGAGGGAGAAGATAACTTGTCATCATCAGCCTGCCTGCCGAGAGATAACTGATTGAATTCATCCCACTGTTAGATAACTCAGGGCTGAGCAGTTGTCTGGGGTCACATAGTACATGAGTTTATGTTGAAGACCCATACACTTTGTGTGACAACAGGCATTCTAGAACAATGCAGACAACTATAGACCATGGCCGTGTTGCGACACACTACAGAAGTAGCCAGCAGGCCAGAGATGGCTGACTCCTGAACTGAAGGATTTAACATTTCAGGTCTAATTGCCACACCTGCCTCATTTGTATTTTGAAGAAAACAACATTGTACTGGCATAATTTTAACAAACAGGCCTATATCCAGTCAAGTGGGGTCTATAAATTATTTGAAATACTTGTTTTAAACAATTTTCACTTTCAAAGTTTGCTAAATGTGAATAGAGTTTTCAAGTTTTTTAAAAAAAGACTTGCAGGGGCATTTTAACTGGCTATTTTGTTGTTGTTGTTGAACTTACAGCGTGTCAGTCTAAGTCATTATTACTGCAGGACTAACCGTAAAGTTCAGACAGGAAGAGTCTACAGAGATACAAGTGATTCAGGTTGGGGTTAGTTTAGTCAGGTCAACAGAAGTTAGCTTCAGTAGGGAAGATGTGAAAGCTTTCGCACCTTAGATGTGACTGTAACAGACACTGGCATGAGGATGCGGGTGTACGGCCACCCAGGTAGGTGTCCAGGAAGAGACATAGAAGTGGGAAGAGGCAAGACCCCGTTAGGGTGATTGTAGATGTTGAAGGCAACAAGAGAACTCGGGAGGTGGTGAGAGTCCAGGCTATATAAAGGTTAGGAAAGGTCTGAAGGTGATAGAGCGCCTAAGATACCACCTTGAATAAGACAGTCTTAAAGAGCGTGACCATTGGAAGAGTCATTTACCTTCAAAGGACTCAGTGGTGTAAAGGAAGGGATGAGCCAGGAGAGTACCTATGTCGTTCTGAGGTTCACCGCCTGTGCTGAAGGTAAGGATGGGAATGGGGGCTTGGCCTGGGTGGGGAAGTAGAGGAGGCTAGAAGTAGATCTGAAGGGGTCTGAGCAGCTGCAGAAGAATGTGATGCATTTGGGTCAAGCAGTGCAGATAAGCTGGGCAGGACGTAAGGAGAAGACTTGTTGGAGGTTCTCCACCAGGCCAAAGGTACTGGAGAAGTGATGATAAGCACCAGAAATAGAACTAAGGTGAGCAGCTTTAGGTCAGAACGCCTGTTCTAAATCAACCTCCACTTCTTCCATGAGATTTAGATTTTTATTTATTTTGTTTGTACAAGTGGTGTGCCTGTGTGTATGCCTGTGTACCACTTGTGTGCACCTGGTGCCCAAGGAGGCCAAAAGAGACTAGACTTACAGACAGTAGTGAGCCACCACATAGGGGCTGGGCATTAAACCAAAGTCCTCTGTTAACGGATGAACCATCTCTCCAACCCTGGACTTAGATTTTTAAATATGCTTTTAAGTTTATTTGAGCAGAACATAATGGTACAGGCCTATCCATCACTTAGTGGCTGAGACAGGAGGATTACCACAAGCTTGAGGCCACTTTGGGCTAAATAGCAATAGCTTGTCTCAAAAGAAAAGAGAAAAAAGGTGCATGTCTTTAATCCCAGTACTTGGGAGGCAGAAGCAGGACGATCCTTGTGTTTGAGGCCAGCCAAGTCCATATAGTGAGTTTCTGGACAGCCAGAGATACATAGAGGAAACCCTGTATCAAAAAAAGGGGAAAAAAATAAATCCAAATTAGCTTGCTATGAAACTAATGTGTGTTATCAAGAACCGCCTAGGTGATGAGAAAACTATTGAGCATTCCTCTTCAGTCATTCCCATCACCATTCTTCCAACCCAAACATTTGCTGCTTAACCTATTAGTTGGTAGCCAGAGAAACAGCCAAACGAGCTTGACACAAAACTGTGCAGCTTGCTTATCTAGGATCACGGGTCTTCAAAATATTTGGCTGAAGGGTATTGATGAAAAGATTGGCAGCTAACCCAGCAGGTGGCGATTAGAGGCAATAAAAGCCCCAGCTTCTGTGCATGCCAAAGACCAGCCTCTAGTGTCTTCCAGAATTCTCTTAATGAGGAAGCCAACTGGCTGTTTTCGTGGGGCCATCTGGAAGCCTGGAAGTGTCACAGAAGTTTGTTAGCCCTTTAGATGTCGACTTTGTGGACTTGTCTACTGACAAGTGGTGACCTTCACTGGGGTGCATGTAGCAAACCATGGCGTTGGGTTTGACTCCTTCCAGCAGTCAGACAGAAATGCCGTTCAACCTCCTACACCTATGGTCTGTTTTAGTGACCACTTGGCCTTCCTTGCCATTTGGTGCCAGCTATTCCCCTCAAGTCCCCTCCAACCTGCCAATTCCAACAGATCTTGCTCAGCCTGGCTGTAAATTCTGTGAGCTCATTTGATGACAGCTCCAGGCAGGGTTATCCCTCCATTTCTCTGTGAGAACCAAGACAAAATAAAATACTCCATGTAGCATCCTTCTGGTGGCTAATTGCTACTTTTCCTACTTAATGGAGGAGACAGATGATCGTAATGGGAGAAATTTAGAGTCTGGTGTAAAGCCCAGGTTTGGACCTGTTAACTGCTTTGTCATTTAGCAGCTATGAAACCGTGTGGTAACAAACCCCAAAGAGAAGCTCAGTCCATCTTTCTTCTTGCAGTTCAATTTTTAAAGATCGGGCTGTGATGCACTTACAAATTTGTACAGCACATTGATGTGCTATACTGCTTGATTAGGGCAATTTTCTTGTATAAAAGGGTCTTTGAAAAATCCTTGTAGTAATAATGTATGTCAACGTGGATCAGTTCTGACAATTTTTACAATTGAAGGTACATCATAGAAATGAGTTTCAAATAGCGTCTGATTATCCCCCTAAATAGTTTGGGCGCTTGAAATAACCAGATTTGAAGAATCCCTCATTTTTATTTTATCAGACTAATGGCAAGGCTTGCTCGGTATGTCTGTAACTTCAAAGAACCCAGGGCTGTTGGTTTGTGAGTCTTCGACTACCAAAAGCATCCCATACTGGGACCTTTCCTGAAGGATAAGGTCATCCAGAGGCAAGTCTGCACTCTTAGACTATCTTCCTCACATGTCACCAGCCACAACTTTGGGTTTGGTGGGTGCTGCGCATGCACCTGTGCTGGCGGGACCGGGGCTGTTGAGAGAGTAAGAGAATCTTACTGCGTTCTGCAGAGAAGCAAATGTCCAAAAGCACGGGGTTGGCAGCAAGGTGGACTGGACAGTTCACACCAGGCTGCTGGGCCCTCTGTCCTGCCATGCGTATATCCGGGAGTTGTGAAATGAGTTAGTAGAATAAGGTAAGGCAAGAACCCCAGCCTCAGTCTTGAGGAGCAGTGCTGTACGGTGCCGGTACAAGGGGGCATTCGGCCAGGTGGGCACACCCCGGGGGCCCCTGGCACTTGTCTATCCATCAGCATCTTCGCTTTGCTTGGGTTCCTCCGAAGTTACCGAGGTGCAGGGAAGAGGAGGGGCCTCTCCTAGGGCGCCTAAGTGATTGGCTGTCTGGGGCCCTTGGAGAGGGCGTGTGGTCCAGCCCTGGTGGAGAGGGGCGGAGCGGCCACTGTTCCTACTACCGCCGCCGCCAACACAGTCGCAGCCACCGCAGCCTCGGCCACTGGGCAAGTCGTGCTGAGCAGCGGCTTTCCGGGTCGGGAACGCCTTACTGGGCTTGCTCGGTACCCTACCGGTGCCTGGCAGTCAAGCAGCGGCCACCACATCTGACCCTGTGCATGGTGTTTGGCTAGATCTAAGCTTTCTGTGCACGCTAAGTCCCTCAGGTCCCCGCAGACCCCTTGCCACTATGCCCCCGGCGGCTGCACTTGGCACCCTGGTTTTATTGCTGCTGCCACTGTTCCTGCCGCTCCCCTGCGGTACTGGGGTTCTTGGGGACAACTCGGATGTTGCCTTGGACTACTGGGCTTTGGAAGGTGAGGAGGGCACCGAGCAACAGCTGCATTACCACGACCCCTGCAAAGCGGGTAGGTACCATCACTGTCCCCTGTCTCCCGGCAAGTCCGGCAGAAGTTTGCCTTTGAAATGCAAATGAGCGGTGGGCAAGGCGGACCACTCTGCTCCTGGGAGATGCCCGGGGTTTCTGGGGGAGGGAGGACAATGTCCACGGGGAAACTGCTTTAATACTCCTCTAAGTCCCGGACATCATGGTCTCGGTTAGCAATGCGCATCGGGTAGTTGCTGCAGGAGTGGTCCCAAAGCGAAAGCCTATGTGGGGCACGGTGGGCTCTGGTCGCCTATCAGGCACCCGGCACCCGCTACCTCCGGACACTGCAGGAGTCGAGCCTGGCAGGGCACCGACGGAGAGTAGCTGGTTTCATTGGCGTTCTCAGCAGCTGGAAGTTTCCCGCGAAGTTTCCCAAGGTCTGCAGTTACTCTTGGGAAGAGATTAGAAGACAGACAGAAAAGCTTCACGGGAGGCAGAAGGAAGAGTTGCCTAGGGAGAACGCCCAGGACTTGAATTGCTCTAGCCTTTCCCGCAGTCCCCTCGGCACCGGACTGAGATGGAAGTCAGCAGGTGCTCTTAATTCCACCAGGAAGCTGCGCCCCAGAACAGCACCGGACACACCGGCCTTGTGAGCGCAAACTGGCCCCAACTCTACAGTTCCAGCTGCCAACCCTCTTGGGTCTTCAGGGGTGTGTGGCAAGGTGTAGAGGGGAGGCATGAAGCACCCTAGCAAAGGTTCTTGGAAGGACCTAAGCACATCCAAAGCCAGAAGCTGGACGGGGGCAGGGAGATAGGTGGGGGTGGGGGTGGGGGGGTGGAGGTGCAGTTCCCAGACCCAGGGAGGTGCCAGACTTAGATCATCTTGAAGCTGCTCCCTGATGGTGGCCAGGAGCCCAGGAGTAGTGTTCCCTTTGGCCAGCACCTCACCTGTTTCACTTGCCAGTGGGCAAAAATGAGGGGTAGGAGGCAAGAGCGTGGCCTTGAGGGTACTCATGGGATCAGAGCACTTGCTCTTGGCACAGTGGCCCACCAGGTCCAGGCCAGTTCACCATTCCCTCACATCGTAAAGACCTCTGCCACCCTCAGTTTCCTCATCTCTAAACTGGAAACAGGGCTTATGGGAATTTCTTGCCAATGGAACGAATGGGGGGTTGTCCTTGTTGTTACTGTGGTCACTCTAGTGTGTAGGCTGGAGTCAATTCACATGCCTGTTGTCTGGGGAAGATGAGGAGGTTCCTAGGAGAGTCTCAAAAGTTCAGGAGAACAGAGGATCCTATGCAGGTTAAAGGTCAAACGGAGTGTGGGGGACCCACTCTTACATAGGGAAGACCCCTGAAGGATATCCACCTATTGCCTTACACATGAGCCTCAGTTAGGAAGTAGTCAGAAAGGGTGATTTTCAGACAAGTGAAGGCATACCACCATGGTCTGACTGTGACATCCAGCTCTTTGTGGAACATTGTTCATGGCCAGGATGTCTCCTGTTTACTGTTAGAATGGTGTCCTGGTCCTAAAAAGAGAGCGCTTAGTTTTGAAAATATGGTGGAGGTGAACAGGACCGACAGTGACACTTGTCAGATCCTGGACCTTGCCCGAGGAGAGCTGCCTCTGAGGCAGTAGGGCAACTGGGGCCAGGGGAGAGGTTAGTTTGAAATAGGCTGGGTGCTTCCTGTACGTAGGAAGCTGGCCTAGATGCTGTGGATGCAGAGAGAAAGATACAGATCTGACCCAAAGCTCCCACCTGGTCTGAGTCTCCAAGGACAACCCTGAGACAAGTTTCCCATTGGCTGTCCAGTGACTTTAGGGAAAACTCTGGGTAACAGAGACATGAATGCTCTGACTATTCACAGACAGGATGGGATGGGGCAGCAGGGCTGGAAGGTAGAGAAGCCTCAGTGTGGTTCAGCAGCTTTAATGCATGCTTCCAGGCCCCACCCCTACCCCGACCCCCACGGCAGCCTCTCCCTGGACCAACCTGACGCTAAGAGCAGCCAGAAGAGAGGAGAGCAAGAGAGACCTGGAGCAAGAAAGCAACACAGTCCGCCCACCCTCCTGGGAATTTTCATCTGGGGAGCACCCTTTTGGAAGGCCAAAAAGGGGATGGAGTCTCAGTGGAATGGCAGCTTCCCCGCTAGGGGGACCGCACTTCCTGGTAGCATGTTCAAAGCTTCCCTTAGAAACAGCCTCTATCCCGGTGGAACCATAACCCGGAAGCTCTGGTCAGAAGGCCCGCTCCTGGCTCTGCCTTGACCTTCACATACAAACCTTCCCCACCGGGTTCTATTCCCCACCTATCAGCGGACAAGATCTGTCCCCTCTGGGCCTCGGCTTCTTCCCTGTAGAATGGACATATTGAGTTTGTTAGGACTGAAAACTGACAGATCTGGGGAGCCTCTCCATTTTTAAACATTTTAAAATGATGGTTTTCTCCATTCCTTTTGTGTTTGGGTGGGGTGCGCTGCAATGCCATGTCAGGCACGCGCCGATCAGAGGACACTTTTCAGAAGTTGGTTCTCTCTTTCTGCTGTGTGGTCCTGGGCTTGAACTCGGGAGCTTGGGCTTGGCAGGAGGTGCCTTTATGCACTATACCATCTTGCTAGACAAGAAACTCCTCTCCTCATCTGCATAACCTGTCTTACCCCGAACCCACATGACACCATGTAGGTACTTGTTCTTGAGACCCCTGCCTCCTCCCTGTTCAGTGTTCTCTGTCTCTGTGACCTTTGTTGTAGCCTAGCCATCAAAGCTGTGTGAACTAGTAAGTGCTGTAGCCATTCTCCGTGTCATAGTTACCATTTTATCACGTGCTGCTTACTGTTTCCACCACTCTACCCTTACCAACTTCCACCTACTCTGCCGTGGATAAGCTGCATGACCTGTAGCTCTCCCTTTGTGTCTTTGTGTCCTCGTTTGTGGATAGGAATAATTTCTGACAGATTAAAGTACATAGAATGATAGATATGTCAATCATTGGGTACTTCATAAACAGATTTTCTAGAAATGTGTTGAAAGAACATCTTCATCACTGAAGCTTTTGATGCCGTTTTAAACTGTCAATTCTAAATTTACTAACAGTAGATGCTGCAGAGAGGGTGGTTACTAAGTCAGATGATGGGGGTGTGGGAACCCTCCTGGCATGCGCCTGGGGAGTAGCCATGGGCTGCTGGGGCACGGTGTCTGTTGGTTCATAGCTCTGTTACTGGCTTTTCCTTAGATACTGCTCACATAGCCAGACACTATACGAGAAGTCACAGACATTCTCTGCATCTCCATGATGGCAAAACTCCCCTTGTCTGCCTGCCCTCATCCACACTTCCTCAGCTGAGTCAAGCCCTGGGCCTGGCTCCTCGTTCCATCCGGGCCCCTGCTATCTATGTGGCTGTTAACCATGGTGTCACTCTCCTGTGTCACTCTATCTGCAAAACAGAGGTGGAAGCAAAATCTTTTGCCTTGTAATGTAACCCAGAACCAGTTTTAGCTGGCTTCTTTACGAAGCAGAGCCATAAACAAGGACCCGTGTGTAGACATTGGAGAGCGACGGAAGGAACAGCAGGGAGGGTGCAGGACTCGCAATTTGGGGAAGGAGGAATTCAGTGAGGGGAGTGGGATTCAGATGGCTGCTCTAGGTGGTGAACTTGGGACGCTCCAGGACCTCTTAGAAGCTTCCAGGCACCTCCTAGAACCATCCATCCAGAGAATGGAAGACTGAAGTACATCCAAAGGCTATAGCCTTTGTTGTTTACTTCTGCTCCCTACCCTGTTATTGGGGAAGAACTCACCCCTAACTTGGCGTAGAACAACCTGACTGCTACGTCATTAGGTTCCTGCCTCTGTGGATTAAGAACAGATAGGGTGGTGTGTATCTGTCAGCTGGAAAGACTTGCAGGCTAGGACAACAAGGGGCTGGAATCCACCTGATGGCTGCCCCAACCTCGGGTCTGCCCGTGGCCTGGTTGTCCTTTGTGTTGGTGGGTAGCGATTCTCAGGTTGCCTGCCCGTGTGGCCAGGTGGTAGACTTCCTCACAGCATAGCAACTGGATTCTAGGTGGATCTAAGAGAACCAGATGGAGGTTTCAGTGCCGTTGGTGACCACCGCACATCCTCACATCCACCGTGACAAGTTTCCATCCCATTCTAGGGGCTGGAGCATAATTCCCTTTCACCAGTGGTGGCGCACGCCTTTAATCCCAGCACTTGGGAGGCAGAGGCAGGCAAATCTCCGAGAGTTCCAGGCCAGCCTAGACTACAAAGTGAGTTCCTGGACAGCCAGGGCTGTTACACAGAGAAACTCTGTCTCAAAAACAACAAAAACAAAACAAAATTAAAAAGCATGTGCAGTGGGAGGGACTGATGTAGCCAGTTTTAGAAAAACACCTGCCATACTCTTGAGGCATTACCTGGGTTCTCTAGATTTAGGGATAGTTCTGAAGTAGAAAGGTGGGGAGAGAGGCAGTGGATGCATGCAGCTTCCCAGAGTCGATTGAAGAGTGTGGGACTCAGGTCACCCAAACTGTCGGCATGAAACTTGTGTGATGCAGAGGTTCTTGGACAGCCGCTGGACTTACTAAGCCCAAGGAAACTGGCTGCCAGCCTGCTTACTCTTTAGCTAGTGACTTGGCAAATGCCAAAGGCATCTGACAGCTGTGACCCCTGGATTCAAGTATGATATGCGGAGTTGTTGGCCCCTGATGGCTTAAGGCTCAGGAGCCAGAGTGAGAGTTATAGTGTGACAGATGGTTCATGACTCAGTTTGGGGTATCCCCAGCCCCTGCCCATGCTTTCAAATCTCACCTCTGTCTGGAATTTGGGGTCTCACTCTACCTTGTCATTTGCTTCAAGACACCTTACCCATGAGGTCTTTTTAAAGGTTCACCAAGAGACCTTCTGGGCAGCTGCTGTCCCCAGCCCTTCCAGGTCCTGATATGAGACCAGAATATTCAATTCCATGAGATCTGGGGTCCGGTCTCTGTGCCTGGTACCCAGAGCAGCACCCAGGTAACTCTGGTTTGTCAGTATCTG